CCAAATTTTTTCAAACTGTTTTGTGATATTTATTTAAACTCTGATTATCTGTCCACTTCACCTACCTTTAGTATTATGTAACTTTTAAGATTTGACCTAATTTGTTTATTTATTGAATTGTCTACATATACACATATTACTACCTTTGTTATTCTTATCGCCACCTGCATAAACCTTATTATCAATATTTTGTTATCATTATTATCATCGTTATTAATCTCGTTGAAAACATTAACCGTATTATTATTATTATTATTATTTGATCCACAAAATCACCGTCATTGGTTAAAAATTTTTTATATATAAATCTATGTAAATTAGAGTAAAGCCTGAAGAAGATCTAATTGAAAACAACAATATTGTTCGCTTATATGTCTTGTTCTAATATTAATAATGGGAAAATTTAAAGATTTGATATTTCTATTATTATTATTATTATTCCATAGGGTTACCATTCGAACATACGGCGCCACGATTACATGTCTTATTCACTCCGTCCTCTTCAACCCTCTTCAGCATGTTCTACGACTACCCACCACCTCCCATATACTCCTCACACAATCTCCTCCATGTTACCCTTGAACATTAAACTAATCATTCCTCATTCGGATTCCACTCAAATCCTAGCGCATGCTATCACTCAGCGTTTCAAGGAGAACATAAGGTTTTAAGGTATGAGCTTTGAAATATCAGTCGCCGTGGTTCTGTCCTCTTTTACGGGATGGGTCTACTAGCCTCATCCCCCCTACCTTCCCTCTTTACTCAGTTTACTACCCGTTAAACGAGGTTTAGGAGTACCTCACCTTGGAGTCGAACCTCGGACCAAATGTGCGGTTTTGGCGAGTATTCTATCGTTGAACCACGGGGGACACAATCAAAATAATGCCCATCATTCCCCTAACTAATTCTTTTGATGAGTTAGATAGTCCTTCTCTTTCATATCCACTGATTAACCTCAACATTGAAAATATTTTTCTGAAAGTAAAATTTGAGACTTACTCATCATGGGGGCATCCTATTGTTGTTGTTCTTTCAGTATTCAATTTATTGATTTGATCTGATAACCATTGTTTACGTTTCCTTGATACTGAATCACGTAAAGTCTCAAGAGCTTGACCTATCTAAGATAAAAAAAAAGATAAATAGCATCCAATCATTTTTGTAAATATCACTAAAATTTATTGTAATATATTAAGTAATAAGGTAAATAGAAGTACAGAACCTTTTCATGTGGTTGTGTTCTCTGAGCTAGCTCGCTCGCTGGTTTATTTGCAAAGCTTTCATTACTACCCTACTACTAGGCAACATCTTCAGCGCATACTCCACGAGTTCATTAGTCATCTCTCCTGGTGACCACCTTGAACGTGACTCTTTCGTTGTTTTGGTGTATTTTCACACCCTCCAGACTGCTACTTGTATTATTATTGGTGCTGATTGTTTCCTTCACCTGGAGTTTGACCCTTTGTGTGTGAGATTTCCTTCTTATCGGTTGGTAAATTTTGTCTATGTTGATGTGTCTATTGATTGACGATTCACTAGAATAGCAGGCTTCTAAATATTCTCTAGCATTCTCGGTGTTTCCTCTGTCTAATATTTGAACCTTGGTTGTCCCAGTCGAATTGACGTCCGTGGTTTTTCTGTATGCAAGGATATGAGGGAGGGAGTGGATATCATGTCTTCTGACGGCTGGTTTATGTTCGTGGATACGAAGACGAAGAGCAGGGACGTCCACTTTGGCCACTTTGACGAACAGAACCTTAGAAACATCATTCACACTACATTGTGTACTACTGACATGAGTTTGTAAGTAGTTTGTTGATGGTGGATTAATTTTCAGTTGGAAGAAATGGAAACTGCTGACAGGTAGTATAGAAACTATGATGTGAGAAGAAAAGAAGCAGAATGCTGCGAATATACCTGTTGCGAATTGAAGTTTCGATGTGAAGTTTTTCCTATATTTTACAAGCATTATTTGCCATTTCACCGAACAAACGAGATTGCCACCAAATACTACGATATTTTGCTGTTACAACTTAGTAAAATATGTTTGTCGAATAGAATGATTGCCTAACGGTGAATCCTATAACGATATTCAAGGCACTATTTCGGAGTATCTAGATCCCTTCTGACTTTCTCAAAATATATCAAGTATACACCGTTTCTAATCTTTAGGAGATAAATAAATAAATACACAAGATTGTAGGATAGACGTTTCATCTTATTCGGGACTCATCATTTGTACGCATCCCGCTGAGACTGTATTGCAGCATCCATATTTGCATTTATAAAACACAAAATAATCGAGCAAAGAATATTCATTTCGATAAATTCCTCTTCCAGGCTCTACAATGATATATATGCATGTTTATATACACAGAATATTTTAACTTAGTAGTTAATAACAGTATCGGCGTGTTTTTTAAATAATATTGATTTGTAAAGTATGGTCAATGCTATTGCAGTTCATTAAAAGTGCTTCTAGAGTTTTCTTATCGGTCGTCCTGCGTATTCTTGACTCCTCACCGCCAACAGTCTGATGCATAATCTATTAACTTTAATAACTCTGAATTACAGTTATGTGAAAGAATTGCGAAACAGTCATTATTATTGATTTTGTGACTAGATATTAATAAATGTTTCGTAGTGAATGATGTTGGGCTTCTATTCAGACTAAGTAATATTTAGGTTTTGTACATGACTTGACGAGAACTTAGGAACATGTTTGTTCCGAAGACGTTAGAGTATGCAGTTGCTCCTACTTACATATGTGTCACCTCAACTACAGGCGTACTTGTAGATACAGTGTGATGTAGACAGTCCATAGAATTTCATGCCTTTATATCGTAGGCACAGGAATTAAAAACTTACGAGTTGCAACGAAAAAGCATGCGGTGTAGAATGTGCACTTGACAGTTAACAGAAGCCTTTGAGCTGTCAGCTGTACAATTCAATCATCTTTGAATGGTAGTAGTTTAATAAAGATAGCTTTATTTGATACGGAAGCATAAAAGATAACCCGATAGTGTAGTGGATTACGTTTTTGGCGTTTGAAGCGGTGGATACTCACTGAGGAGCACTTACATCAAGCCAAAAATTTCAAATTAGATGAAAAGCACGTCTTGGATTCTGCTGGCAGACACTATTACACAATTAGCTTTGAGTTCTTACTCCTGGTAATATCTAGGCGTCCGTGCAAAGAGACCAGATACCAACATGAAGCTGGTCACTGCGGTAAGAAACTTGGCATGTTAGGAAAAGGATTTCCAACAGTCAGTTGCAGACTTTCATCAACAGCTGCCAACCTCGCTGGCTCCATACTGAAGGTCAAATGGCCAACCGGCCAAAGAGAATTAGCAACAAGAAACTCTGGCTGGGAAAAAACCAAATGGTGAGAGCCAATCGATTGACAAATATGTAGCAGAAAGTGGAGATGGATCGAGCATACATTGAGGAGGCCGTCAAATGACATCACGCGCAGCGTAGGCCATTGCTCAAGTGGAATCTTAATGGGAAGCGACGAGTTGGTTGTCAATGCGACGGTGACATGGAGGAGATCATGTGGTGAGGAAGAGATGAGAGAGGTTGGTCAATCGTGACCTCAGCTGAAGAGGACGGCAGAAAAGAGAAGAAAGTGGAGATGTGTTGTTGAAGTCAGCCATATGTTCCACTCGGAACGCAGTCAGACCACAAAGATGAATAAGTAAATAGATGTGAACTCGACAAAAAGATCTACAGTCAATTCGAACGAATCCATCTCAATTCTTCTAAAAACAAAATTCAACGTATACTGCAAACGAATAAAATATATGAATTCAAATTAAGCTTTGCAATCGAGAGAGAAGTAGCTGAAAATCCACAGAATCACTGAAAGGTCAAATATTCAATGATTAATGATGATGAAGATGATGATAATGATGAGCATCGTTTATGAGTCGAAAGACCTATTAGCATTGATTCGGTAAAATTTCATAATTCTGTTGTTATCAGATTTATTTTTCATTGTTCCCTTGGGTTCCTAGTGGAACATAGGGCTTCAACTGCACGTCTCCACTTCTTTCTATCTTCTACCGCACTTTTCACCTGCATCCATGTTAGTCCATACTGTTTCAACTCATCTTCACACGATCTCCTCCATGTCACCCTTGGACGTCCGACTCACCGCTTCCCTTCCGGGTTCTACCCGAGGGACTGACATACGATGTCGCCCAGTGGCCTCCTCAGCGAGTTTCCAATCCATCTCCACTTTCTCCTGCATATTTGTTGAGCGATTGGTTCTTGTTTTGTTTGTTCCCATAGTTTCTTGTTGGTGATTCTTTCCGGCCATCTGATCTTCAGTATAGAGCCAGCGAAGAGAGTTGTTGATAAAGGTCTGCAACAGGCTGTTGGAAATATTCTTTTTGACACACTGGCCAAGTTTCTGATCCATCCGTATAGAAGAACTGACTGACTTGACGTTTGTATTGAAAATCCGAATTTTGTTGTTGGTGCGGGCTGAGTGACGAAGATGTCCAGATTGGTTTCAGGTTGATGAATGTGTTTCTCGCCTTCCCGATTCTCGATTTGACATCCTCGTTCGTTCCTCGTGTAGTTGAGACAATGCTCCCTAGATAAGTGAATGAAGTAATCTCTTTCAAATTCCTCCCGTTGATGGTTGTTGGCGCTGTATGTTGCTGCCTCTGTTGTTGTTGGTTGGTTGGTTATTTTCTTGATCTCCGTCTTGTCTATATTCACCTGGAGTCCTGTCTTCTCCAGCTGCTTCTTCGACCAGTTTGTTGGTTTTCGCTTGTAAGTCTTCGGTTTTTTGTGACATCAAACATAAATCATCCACGCGCGAAATCCAGGTCTTCTAGGTTCTTCACGTCGGTCCAGGATATCCCTGTCTTCTCGTTTCCCACTCACTGTCTGACGCATAATCCAGTCCACCACAATTAGGAATATCATTGGTGATAATAGACACGCTTGTCTGACTCCTGTGTTTACTCTAAACGCCTCTCTGAGTTTTCCGTTGTGGATCACTCGGCATGTGCCGTTGTCGTACAGCTGTTGAATAAGGTTGATGAATACTTGGGGTACGCCGTACTCGAGTACTCGAGTAGTTTCCAAATTACTTCACGGTCAACGCTGTCGAAGGCCTTCTCAAAGTCTGTAAAGTTGAGGTAGAGGTTTGATTGCCATTCCATGCTTTGTTCGATGATAATGCGTAGAGTTGCAATTTGGTCAGAACATGATTTGCCTTTCCTGAATCCAGCTTTTTCTGGTCGGAGTTCTGCATCCAGTTGTTATCAGATAGTTGAAGGCAATCGGCCACAGGAAGCCTTGCACTCTTGACCTAGGTTTCGTGCTAGTTCGCACTCATTAGTCAGCAAGACGTATCCGCAACCTAGAAGGAATGGATGTCCCCTCCGATATTCGAACCTGTGTTACCCAGCAGTGAAATCAGAGACGTTATCACTGACCTATTCGGACACTTTGTAGACCTCCTGTAGGACTGTATTGGGGACTTTGATTGGACACTAGTTAGTAACAACTGTACTATATCTAGTCATTTGATCGGTGCAGATTCAATTCTGTCAGTCAACTTTGCAACGTGACCACCAATCTAGCTGGGACATCATCGCGTTGTACTCTAAAATGAGGTTAAATGTTTGGTGGTAATTGTCAGAGTCCCCTACTTGCCTTGACCTATGTAGTTGACCATAACTCACAGTCATTTCAAGTTGTTTTGTAAATTATATCATTTTGTTTAATTGGGTCAACCGGCAGGGTCCTTTAACCTACAGAGCTTGTCCTACCTGAGTGAGTTTGTAGGTTTGAATGCCACCACAATGATTCCTCTTCTATTTAGAAACCTGCGTAGGGCCTCAGATGTCCCCTCCTTATATGGTATAACGTTAGATGCCTTATACTTTCTGTTATGTCGGAACATAAGAATTTAGCTAAAGTAAGAATGGTTGATACCACGAAGATTAGTAATTTAGAAAAAAGCTCAGCGATTGCACAGCATGCATGTATTAACGCACAACCACACAATAGCATGGTGGGAGAGGGTTAAAATTCTAAGATGTAATATAGGTAGTTGGAGAGAGCGGTTGATTACTGAATCCTGGTTCATTGAGTCCACCTTCACCCAACACATGCAAAGGAAATGACTCAATGCAAATGCCAGAGATATGAATGGAAGATATTATTACCACCAGTCAGTCAAATCAGAGGAGGATAATAAATAATTTTAAAATTCTATTTCATTTCAATTCACGTACATCATAACATTCTAACAAGTTACTTATTTTGACTACAAAAACACTCATATTATTATTGCTGAATGTGTATTATCCTATATTGATTTTTATTCAAATGTCTAATCATCAGTTCCACTCATGTATATAAATGAAGGAAAAGGTTGTGTGAGTAACTTGATATGATTATGAGCAGTAATAATTTGTACTCGAAAGGTGGTCATCAGTTAATATTACTGTATAACACTACACTGTGTGACTTATCAAAATGAAATTTTATCTATCTATAATGGAGTTATACTCCAGCACCACAGTGCCCAAATTTTATACTTATATCAAGAATTCTAATCAGCCTTTTGAAATTTTTCTTTATAATGGATATTTTTAATCAATTAAAACTCAAATTTCAGGGGATTTTTCGTCATTTTTTAAAATATATATAATATCGCCTACTATTGCCAATGATTTTCCTGATTGCAGTAGACTGGATAATGCGACAAACAGCGGGCAATGAGGAAACAGGCATAAAATGGACTCACACAAAAGAATTAGAGGATATGGACTTCGCCGATGACATATGTTTGATTTCCCACAAACTGGAGGATATGCAAGCGTCGGTGGCACAGTGGTTAGGACTCTCGCCGACCATGCACATGGTCCGGGGTTCGATCCCCTGCCGGCGCACACCCGATATCTATGGTCGGCCTGAATTTGGGCTACCGATATCCATGCTGAAAATTCCACACTTGTACTGAAAATACGGTGTGGAATCAAGCTGTAAGTCAAAATAAAAAAATAAAATAAAAAGCAACAAGTTGGCACAAGAAGCATCCAGAGTAGATAGGACTTCAGGTGAACATAGAGAAAACAGAGGTGATGATGAAGATTCCTGGGCAACACCACCAACAGCAACAATAACAACAGACAACATTCAGCATAAATGGGAGGAATCTGAAAGAAACAACCTCTTTTACCTACCTAACTGGGGAGCATCGTTTCAACTACAGCCGAGCGGAACTGACGAGGATATCAGCGAAGCGAGGATCGAGAAAGCAAGAAAAGCTTTCACTACTCTCAAGTCTGTGTGGAGGTCAACAACACTATTCAGCATCAAAAATAAAATCCGGATTTTCAACTCCAATGTGAAGTCAGTCAGTGCCACTTACTATACGGATCAGAGTTGCACTGCGCGTCATAAAGAGCATCTCAAACAAACTACACACCTTCATTAACAGTTGTCTTCGCTCAATACTCAAGATCAGATGGCCAGCCAGAAAAGATCAGCAACAGTGATCTCTGGCAATGAGCGAACCAACCCATCAGGAACCTATTGTGAAACAAATACGCAGGAAGAAATGGAGATGGATTGGCTGTTCATACTCTGAGGAAACAAGCCATCAAGTGACATCACTAGACAAGCCATTGCTCGAGTGGAACCTGGCCGAAAGGGAAGCGGTGAGTTGGTCGTCAGTGCGAGGGTGATTTGGAGCAGGAGGTCATGTGAAGAGGAGATGAAAACGTGTGGACAGACTTGGACCCAGGTGAAGATTCTAGCAGAGAACCGAACGCAATGGAGACGTGCGTGGCTGAAGCCCTATGTTCCTCTAGGAATTAAAGGAAACAATAATAATAATATAATAATAATATATAATAAACAATTTATCATACCTCATTGTCATTTTCTTGATTCAACCAGTTTTTTGAATAATGGTGATTGATCTTATTGGCATTTACTGACTTTTTTCTCTTATCGATTTTCTCATGGTTTATTGTCACCCCGCTAACTTTTCTAGTATATGGAAGAGTTTCAGGGATTATCTGACAGTCAGAGCAATACTGTTGATTTTGTTTATTCAGGTATCGACGAACACTGTCACAGAAATCAGATTTTCTATTCTTTAAAGCTGCTTTTTGTTCTTCTGAAATACGAAAGTATGAACCAGTATCCATCATCGCATGATGATGATGAATATCACGGGAATCTGTTCCATGGGAAGGAGTGGAATAAATGTGAATACTTCTCGGTATTGTTGTTGCTGTTGTTGTTGCGGCGGCTGCTGTTGGTGTTGATTTTGTTCTATGTAATAGTAAATAATCAGTAGGATTCCCATAATCCAGTGAATATGATCTCTTGAAGTCTTTGAACGAAAAGATGCGTTTATTGAATGGAAAGAAAGAGAGAATATTCATGGAATAATCATCTTTAAAGTTTATTATCATACAAGGCGTAACTGAACTCAGTCACATTTAGTGTACTGATGAAGAGTCCCAAAATGAGACGAAACAGTTGTCTGGCAGTAGTCCCTGTCTGGTGGTTTTCCAATGATTCTCTAACTGATGTTAGATCATGATGAAATCCTCCAGCCAATCAAACAAAATTCCCTAGAAACCAATACTCGAATATCAATGAGATGCTCACTAGCGATTAGAGCTATTCACGTAGGTAGTTACCTGGGGTTCTAGTGGGACTTCGTGACCAGTAGGGTGCAGCAGGTCGGGTGTGAGGACAATTACTCACCAGCGATGACATTCCCTAGTGGTCGCGCTATGTCATGAATTCGCAAAAGTTAGAATCTATGGTCTGGCCATTGGATCGGAACCCACTGCCTTGTAACCAGAGGGTCCTGGGTTTTAACCCTGGTGGTGGATGCGCACTGCTTAAGAGTCCCAAACTAAGGTGACTAAACAGCTGTCTGGCAGTATTCCCTACCTGGTGGTTTCTAATGGTTCTCTAACTGATGTCAGCTCATGATGAAATCCTATAATCAATCAATCAAATCCCTACAAATCAATACTTGAACATCTACTGTAAACATATATTCTCAAGTTTTTAAACTCAGACTAGGAGAGACATATCTGGAGACAGTCTTCGACAAAAGAATGGATTTCTATGAAACTTCATCAAAAGTTGTCTAATCTCAGGACAATAGACAGAATAAAAATTATCTAATGAAAGGCCAGACAAAATAAACTTTAAAATCCTTCCAAGACTGCTAAAACTTTATTGGAAGTAGATATTGCCTGGAAGCCAGCCAACCTGCATTATTGGTTACTGGTTTTCATCATGAGCAGACATCGGTTAGAGAAGCAATGGAAACCAGCTGGGAGTACTGAACAGCTGTTTTGTCAGCCTAATCTCGTACTCTTCACCAGTGCGCATCCACCACCAGGGTTAAAACCCAGGACCTTCTGGTTACAAGGCAACCGAGCTCGTAGACCATTTAGCCAATGGGTTCCAATCCAATGGCCAGACCATGGATTCTAACTTCTGCTAATTCATGACATAGCGCGACCACTAGCGAATGTCATCTGTGGCGAGTAATTGTCTTCACACCCGACCTGCTGCACTCTACTGGTCACGAGGTCCCACTAGAACCCCAGTCAACTAACTACCTGAATAGGGTCAATAGCAAGTGAGCATCTTATTGATTTTCAATTATTAGTTTAACTGATTAAAAATACCCATTTAATTTTTTCAAAAGAATGAACAAAGTGTACTCTTTTCGACAAATTCATCATCAGGCTCTACAATTATATATACATTATAGTGAATGAATGAACTAGTCTTAGGAACGACATTAATGTTTAAATAACATCAAATCAATAATACTGATAAATTACAGCTGAACTGCATCAACATAAAATAAACTGAATGTCAGAAGAATTATGAAAGATAATAGTGCAAATTCATCAGTTAATAGTTTCTACTGAGGGCTAGGGCATTAGTAGGGGCTGGACTTGTTTCTTTTGAACACAGAACACTGGTTGTTTGAGGCGAAATGCAATAGCCTCTGCTGTTTGGAGCATGTGGTGCTTCGACGATTTTGGTAGTTTGTTAGGCACCCGGTATATTATAGAGGATTCTTCTACGCTGGCTTTGTGACCGGTTTGCACCAGATGGTCTAATATCGAGCTGTTAATAGTTTTAACTACACCTTTACTTAGCCATAGTGGGAGATGTTCTCGAGCACGAAAAATCAAGTTCCTAGAGCAACGGACAATATAACTCGCTCCACAAGCGCAGTTGAATTGATGGATACAGTTTGAAGTGGCTAGTCAAGGTACTTCATCTTTCAGTCGAGGTAGCACCATCGGTCGTGTAGAGAATAAGATGTGTAGTTCGCCAGCATTAAAAGTTCTTTGAACTGATTTTCTTGATTTCCTCGTAATTATCTCACTTGGTATATCGCCCATGAATTGTAATCGTATATATAATGTAAAGTCTACGAGATTGTCTTGTAACTGGAAGTTCTCAGGTAGAAAACCCAGTAGATGCGTACTACCATTGTTATTATTATTAGTTTGTAGGGATTTCATTGACTGGTTCGACTGGACTTCATCATCAGCTGACATCGGTCTACGAGCTCGCCTTTTAACAAGATGACCCTGTATCCGAACCTTTGTGGTCGGTGCATACTGATGAAGGTTTAGTCCGCAACTAGGCTGGTAGTACATCTAGCTGTCCACTACTCCTTGTCTAGTGGTTTTCCGATGGTTCTCTAAACGATGTCAGTTCATGATGAAATCCTGTAACCAATCAATCAAATCCCTACAAACCAATGCTTGAAAATCAACCCACGTTATGTCGCTTAAATTAATACAACGGCAAAAGAAGATAAAAGCAATACGATATACAAGAATTATCAATCAATAGGTGTAGAAACTATTATACTTGGTCTGTAGTTTGTTTGAGATGCTGTTTATGACGCACAGTGCAAGTCTCTGATCCGTATAGTAGCACTGACTGACTTCACACTGGAGTTGAAAATCCGGATCTTATTTTTGATGCTGAGAGTTGTTGATCTCCACACGGACTTGAGAGTAATAAAAGCTTGTCTTGCTTTCCTGATTCTTGCCTTAATATCCTTGTCAGTTCCGTCTGCCTGTAGTTGAAACGATGCTTCCCAGGTAGGTAGGTAAAGGAGGTTGTTTCTTTCAGGTTCCTTCCACTTATGCTGGTCGTTGTCTGTTGTTGTTGTTGTCCAGGAATCATCACCTCCGTTTTCTCTATGTTCACCTGAAGTCCTATCTTCTCTGGATGCTTCTTCCTCAGTCACCTTGTTGCTTTTCACTTGTTTATCTTCCAGTTTGTGGGAAATCAGACATATATCATCGGCGAAGTTCAGATCCTCCAAGATTTTTGTGTGAGTCCATTTTATGCCTGTTTCCTCATTACTCGCTGTCTTTTGCATTATCCAATCTACTGTAATCAGGAAAATCATTGGTGATAGTAGGCAGTCAGCCTTGTCTTACTCCTGTCCTCACTTCGAAGGATCCTGTGAGTTTCCCGTTGTGGATTACTTGGCATGCAACATTGTCGTACAGCTGTTGGATGAGATGTATAATTGTCGGTGGCACCCCGTAGTAGCGAAGTAGTTGCCAAATCACCTCTCGATCGACGTTGTCGAAGGCCATTTTAAAGTCGATGAAGTTGAGACAGAGAGGTGACTGCCATTCCAGGCTTTGTTCAATGATGATCCGTAATGTGTCGATCTGATCAATACATGACTTGTTTCTCCTGAATCCAACCTGTTCCGGTCGACGGTTTTCATCCAGGGCATCTTTGTTTCTCTCTAGGCCGTTGAGTCGATATTGTTCAGAAAATCTTTTTATATCTTGAGTTTGTAATTACCCCCCCCCCCAAATATGTCATCCACATATCTCCACCACAATTTGCGATTTGGACTGACTGCTTCAATCGACAACTTTTCACTACAATTGAGCTTCAAATTTTGAAGTTCCAGTGGCATTGGTATTGTTTTTATGCAGTGGGATCGCTAGACTGTCATCCAACCCTCTCGTCTTTTATAGCGTGAGATTTAGGAGTGCATTGGCCAGGAATCAAAACCCGGACCATCTTCCTGCCTGGTAAGCATTCTACTACTAAAACATAGCCGTGATGAAAACAATACCACTAATCAATATAACGTGTAGTTTAAAATGACAACTAATCGATACTGAAAGTAAAATGAGTCATCATGAATAACAGATCACCCACCGCCTTAGAATAGAAAATATGCTAATTTACAAATCTCGACAAAGAAAGAAAGAAAGACCAGATTTGCAGTATAAAATATGATGTCGTCATTCTATTTCATAGGTTCTCATCAGCTACCTGCAAACCACTACCTGAAATTACAATGGTTATAAATAGTGATAACATTTCATACTTCAATGTTTGAAAGGTAATAGAGAAGACATTATAAGATGAACGCATCCGGAATATAAGTAGTGTGGTGAGAGCTGGCTGCTAGCCAAAGTTGGTAGACAGTAATTGACGTCAATGTTTATGTCCCCAATATTGGTGGTGAGAAAATGAGAACAAAGGCTTTGCGTAGGCGAATACAGTTTGTATATGGATGATCTGACACAGCCACAAAGAGATACAAGGTTAACTTTCTGTGAGAAACAACCAATCAAAAGACTGTATTTTCTACTAACAATAATCTACAATAATGTACATTAAAATCTATAAATATGTGTTGATTTTCCTTGATAAACGATCTGTTGCCTGGCACTTGTCTTCTGTTCTTACAGTAGTGTAGTACTTTTTAGTTTAAGTTACCATCAATTTATATTCTATCAAGCCATGAAAACTAGGGAAAACGGGTATCCAAAGGGATTTATCCTAATGTACTGCAAAGATAAAGGACGAGAAAGCGAACTATCCAACAGTTGAAAAAAAGAAAGTGTACATTTGCCCCCCCCATTCAAAGGAGAAGCAGTATCACAAAAGATTGACAAGAGGATGAAAAGAGCAATAGAAAGCTGATTCCCTGCAGCTAAGCTGGTGACACTATAGAGCACTACATGCTCTATAAGCCAATCGAAACTGGATAAGTACCCTGCTGATGTTACATCCAAGTGCATTTATAAATTTACGTACACCTGCGGCAACAAGTACATTGGAAGGACAGAAAGAAGGCAGGACTTCTATCCTGTTTTCAGAGCATATTCCAAGAAACTTATGCTTAAAAGGAAGTAGATGTTTACGAAGTAAAATTAGCAGACACCTTGTGGACACAGATCATTTTGTCGAAATTTCCAAATCCTTTAAAAACTTAAACATACAAAGGACGGTGAATCTACTACGATTTGCTGAAGCAATTGCAATCAAATATTTCAGACCAAACTTATGCACACAGAAAAAGAGTGTAGTCAATCTCTCACTCACTCCCTTGGTAACCGTATTACTTTCATTACACTGATTAGTAATACACACTAGTGAGCTCTCAAGTCTGTGTGGAGGTCAACAGCACTCAGCATCAAAAATAAGATCCGGATTTTCAACTCCAATGTGAAGTCAGTGCCACTTACTATACGGATCAGAGACTTTGTGCCGCGTCATAAAGAGCATCTCAAACAAACTACAGACCTTCATTAACAGTTGTCTTCGCTCAATACTCAAGATCAGATGGCCGGTCAGGAAAGATCAGCAACAGGGATCTCTGGATGAGCGAACCAACCCAGGAACCGATTGTGCAACAAATATGCAAGAAGAAATGGAGATGGATTGGCCATACTCTGAGGAAACCATCAAGTGACATCACTAGACAAGCCATTGCTCGAGTGGAACTTGAAAGGGAAGCGGTGAGTTGGTCGTCAGTGCGAGGGTGGGTGACTTGGAGGAGGTCATGTGAAGAGGAGATGAAAGCATGTGGGCAGACTTGGAGCCAGGTGAAGACTCTAGCAGAGAACCGAACGCAATGGAGAGTGCGCGGCTGAAGCCCTATGTTCCTCTAGGAATTAAAGGAAACAATAATAATAATACTAGGGAGCTCAGCTCACTAAGCAATTTTTCAATTTGATGAACTTTAACCTACTTGAGTTGCCATGTTGACATACAAGCTAACACCGTTTATTGAATTTTTTTATTTTCTGTCTTCTCTCAACCCTCCCCTTCCTTTTTTCATAGTTTTATAGTATATAAATTGATGGTAACTTAAACCAAAAAGTATTGTAATACGTATATTCCGGATGCGTTCATCTTATAATGTCTTCTCTATTACCTTTCAAACATTGAAGTATGAAATGTTATCACTATTTATAACCATTGTAATTTCAGGTAGTGGTTTGCAGGTAGCTGATGAGAACCTGTGAAATAGAATGACGATATCATATTTTATACTTCAAATCTGGCCTTTCTTTCACTGTCGAAATTTATCAAGGGAACCAAATGCAATAACTAAATCATTTTTTCAAAATGGTGTTCAACTGTAATCACAATTACAAACCAAAAAATGGTTAGATATTGAACAAAAGGTCAAAGTCACTTCACCAAAATATATGCCATCGTGTCTGTTTAAATTATTTTAATAGCTGAAACAGTTGACAGCGTGATAATACAGGCGAGGAAAGACTACGTCAATTGGTTGATGATGGATGACTAGCAGTGGAATCCAGGATAACGCACATTTCGTCCTATTTGGGACTCTGGATTCCACGGCTAGTCACCACCCACCAGTTGACTTCAAGTTACATAACCAACATCTGCACAAGAAGCCGACATGTCAGCCTGAGACCGAGGAGCACTTCGATCCAATCAATCGATGGGAAAATCTAAAATTGAATTAAATAGAGCACAGAATTGATTTGGATGATTTAAAGCGAATCCAACACATTGCAGATACATTCGACATCGAAATGAAAGAATCAACCCTCTCTTGTTTTAAACTATTGACGTTTTTAGCGAGTGAATGAATATGCCCGATTCCCAACTATTCATAACAGCCAGCAGTGTATGTTGTTTCAACCTTGAGGATGTGTATGATCTGAAGAATCATCCTGGAGAATTTGAATTCACTTCGACTGGGGAGATCAAGGATTTAAGACACTGCTTTGAAGTCCATTGGGAAAAGCTTATTCAAAAGAATACTCTTTTCGATAACCTGCTCTTCATCAGGCTCTACAGCTATATTATTATTATTGTTCTCTTGGGTTCCTAGTGGAACACAGGGCTTCAAATACACGTCTCCACTTCCCTCTGTCTTCTGCTGTACTTTTCACTTGCATTCATGTTAGTCCATACTGCTTCAGCTCCTTCACACGATCTCCTCCATGTCACCCTTGCACCGACGAACCACTCGCCGCTTCCTTCCCTTTCGGGTTCCACTCGAGCAATGGCCTGAGCGCGATGTCACCCAACGGCCTCCTCAGCGAGTGTCCAATCCATCTCCACTTTCTCCTGCATATTTGTTGAGCGATTGATTCTTGTTTTGTTTCTTCCCATAGTTTCTTGTTTGTGATTCTTTCCGGTCATCTGATCTTCAGTAGTATAGAGCGAAGACAGTTGTTGATAAAGGTGTTCAACAGGCTGTTGGAAATATTCTTGGTGACCCTCCAAGTTTCTGATCCGTATAGAAGAACTGACTGACTTGACGTTTGTATTGAAAATCCGAATTTTGTTGTTGATGCAGGCTGAGTGACGAAGATTTCCAGATTGGCTACAGTTATATATCCATCCATAATAGTGAATGAATGAATTAGTGTTATTAACAACAACATTAATGCTGTTTAAATAACATCGAATCAATAATAATATCAATGGATTACAGTTCAATAGCATCGACATAACAACACACACTAAATATCAGAAAAATTAGGAAAGATAATAATACAAATTAGTGAATTTATAGTCTCCACTGAAGGCCAGGGCAGTAGTAGTGGCTGGACTTGCTTCTTTTGCACACAAAGCACTGGTTGTTTCACGCGAATTGGGATAGCCTCTGGTGTTTGGAGCATGTGTTACCTAGATGCTTTTGGCAATTTATTTGGTAACCGGTAGATGATAGAGAAGGATTCTTCAATGCTAGCTGGCTTTGTGGCCGGTTTGGACCAGGTGGTCTAATATCGAACTGTTTTAATGTTTTTCACTACACCTTTACTTAGCCATGCTTGGAGATGTTTCCAATAGAGCACAAAAAATCAAGTTTCTAGAGCAACGGTCGATATAACTCGCTCCAGCACAAGCGCCGTTGAATTGGTAGATACAATCCTTTGTGCATATAAGGAGGAAATTTGAAAGAGGTCACTACCTTGACTTATCTAAGAAGCATCATCTCAGCTACAGGCTGAAAAGATGAAGGATATCGAAATCACAGTCGGAAAAGCAAGGCAAATCTCCATCACTCTGAAATCTGTTTGGAATCAGCATCAACAACAGAATCTGGATTTTGAGCTCGAATATTAAATCATTCCTTCTAAATGGGTTAGAAACTTGGCTGATACGTCACGAAAAGCATTTCCAACTGGCTACCGCAGACTTTTAACAACAGCTGCCTTCCCTACATACTGAGTCGAACGTCGAATGACATCACTCAAGTGGGAAAGGACGAAATGTGTCTGGGTTCAAGGGTAACATGGTAGGGATCATATCAAGAGGAGATGAAGGGTTAGGGGTAATTGTGAAGCCAGCTAAACAGGACTGCAGAGAACTCGGCAAAATGGAGATATACTGTCAAAGACGTATGCTCCGCTTTGAACCCAAGGGAATAATAATAATATAGTCTGGTAAATTAGTAACTCAACAAAGTACATATTCATTCAGAAATCTATAAAACACAAAATAATTGAGCAAAGAATGTCTTTTTCGATAATTGCCTCTTCTGGCTCTATAATTATATACATATGTTTATATACACAGAATATTTAAATTAGTAGTTAATAACAATATTAGTGTTTTCTTTAAATAATATCGATTTGTAAAGTATGATCACAGTGGAATTACCACAGTTCATTAAATATGCATACATTATAATAATAATAACAATAAAAATATAAGAGCAATTGGAATGTCAACTGAAATTAGGGAAATTCCACAAAAATTCCGGATTATTCAAACCTGGATGGCCAAGGTAATGATAATGACTGAACTAACTTCTTTTGGATGCATAAATTAGGCTTATTAATATGGATCCCCACAGCCTCAGCAATATTTAGTAGTCGAACTCTTAAAGCAAAATTGAGATTCGTAGGTATGCGGTAAATGACCCTGAAAGCATGATTAACGTCAGTCTGCTCCTGTGGAGCCAGTTACATAGCCCATACAAATAGAGTTTGTTTGTCCTTTAATTCAAACATCACGCAGGGTGATGTTCAGAAATTCGACGAGAAAGACGCCTAATCGTATGGGCTATGTAACTGGATCCACAGGACCAGACTGACGTTAATCATGCTTTCAGGGTCATTTACCGCATACCTACGAATCTCAATTTTACCTTAAGAGTTCGACTTCTAAATATTGCGGAGGCTGTGGGGATCCATATAAATAGGCCTAATTTATGCATCCAAAAGAAGTTAGTTCAGTCATTATCATTACCTTGGCCATCCAGGTTTGAATAATTCAGTACTTTTGTGAAATTTCCCTAATTTTAGTTGATATTCTATTTGCTATTATATCTTTATATTATTATTATAATTTAAGCATCTTTAATGAACTGTAATTCCACTGTGATCATACTTTACAAATCGATATTATTTAAAAAACACGCTAATATTGTTATTAACTACTAATTTAAAATATTCTGTGTATATAAACATTGCATATATAATTATAGAGCCAGAAGAGGTAATTATCGAAAAGAATATTCTTTGCTCAATTATTTTGTGTTTTATAAAGTATATATTATACACAAATAAACCTACCAGGATATGTTGACCAAATATCTGAATAAGAATTTCCATGTTCTTGAATATTATTGAAATGAGGTTTCTGTAAATTGAAAGTAAGTAAATTGGTCATCATAGCAGTAATTCACGAGAGACGGAGAGAGAAACTAAATTTTGATTTCTATGAGAAAAAGTAACGATTTCAGATGATGAAAAATTGTGGAGGCCGAAATATATCAAATTATACGTTCACCGTAAAATAGTAAAAATAATGAATTCACAGCAATAGGGATGGAGTAAATGGTTTATTTACTACTAGTGCAAAGAAGGTTAGTTAGTTAGTGAGTTAGTTCATCCCTGACAATATTTTCATCACACAAAATACGTGCCGTCAAATATGGTATAGTGGAATTTTTATACTTAGACATACGTACATAAAGTCTTTCGAAAAGACTTCTTGTTTTACCTGAGGAGAGGCAAGGTGAAAACTGCGTGTGCTGCGGTGGTTGTTCAAAGTCTGACAAAATCCCTTTAGCAAATCTGTTGCATGAGATCAAGTGCCTATCAATGACGGTGTCAGCGATATGACCCAATGGGCTACCACCACTTGCCCTACCAACAGTCAGTCTTCAGAGTTCTACGAAGTATGACATAGTCTTTTCTAAGCAATCCAGGAAAAAATTAGGGTGAACTGTACAGAAGAACAGGTAAGATGCACGACTTGACAAACTGTAAGAGGAGGGTTTGGTTGAGTTACGCCTGAGTGCCTTAACTTCTTAATGTAAAAAGTCAGACGAAATATGCTTTGAGAAATTGCTAAAAAATGGGAATAGATGAGAAGAAGAAAGAATTGATCCAAGATACTTAACTTCAAACTTGATTTCTATATCAGTATCATCAATTTTACAATGGTCATAGGAATGATAAACAGCTTCATTTAACTTTCTTTTACATCGGAAACTGAAATTAACAGTTGGACATTTGGAAGAATTTAGTTTAAGACCATTTGACGAAGACCATCTGCTTAATGAATTTGAAGAAATCAATAACCGCAATAACAACACATGTAGCATGTTAAAAGTAGATTCATTTTATCTCGGCGGTCAGTATCTCTTGTCAGTCAACTGCTTACAAACTGAATAGTGAAATTTGTAAAAATTACATTTGTAGAAGTCAATCTGGACGAAGAATATTCTTTTCAATAATTTCTCCTCTTCAGGTTCTTACAGTTATAAAATATAATATTTGTTGTTGCCGTTACAATAATGATACCCAGTTAGTTATGCGGCGGATACATTTTATTAACGTAGAATAACAGATCAGTTATGGAGTGTCAAAATAAATAGTCGTATTTGTGTGACAAACGTCGTGCTAGGCTGAAATCGATTACAATATATTTCGGTGAAATGGGAGACAATGGTGGTGATTAGTCGTCGGTGGCACAGTGGTTAGGACTCTCGCCAACCATGCACATGGTCCGGGGTTCGATCCCCTGCCGGCGCACACCCGATATCAATGGTCAGCCTGTAAATTTGGGCTACCGATATCCATGCTGAAAATTCCATGCTTGTACTGAAGATACGGTGTGGAATCAAGCTGTAATCAAAATAAAAAAATAATAGATTTGTAGAGTGTGGGGGTAGGAAAATTGACAAGTTAGTCAGTTCAAGGTTATAAAAGGTGTCTGGTGAGTGAGTGGCTAGTACAGAGTGGTATGTATTCAACAGGAGAGAGTAAGACTGCAATCAGAGGTTCATTATGAAATAACCAATGCGTGAAATGAAACAAGTGAAGGCATATATTGAGAAAAGGGATAATATCACTAATAATAAATCCGGATAGTATAAATGGAAAATTCGACAGTATTGAGAGAATGTTTGCATGAAGGGCATAAATTATGACGAATAATAATGATAATAATTGTGATAACAAGCAAAGGAAAAAAATCAAGAGAGTTAAGGGGAAGAAGCACTCTTGGTGAGAAGAAAAATCATCAGTTCAAGTTTGGCCACGGTAGGAACAGCGTCTGGACGTGTTCTTTTCGGATACAAAGTTCCGGTTTAGTCGATCTTATTGCAACAGCTTCAGCTATGTGTAGCAGACGCAAAGGTGTATCCGCCGCATAACTAACTGGGTATCATTATTGTAACGACAACAATAAATATTATACTTTATAATTGTAAGAACCTGAAGAGGAGAAATTATTGAAAAGAATATTCTTCGTTCAGACTGACTTTTTATTCATGACATGGGAATATTTCACACTATTAAATATTTGCAAAATCTCAGAGAAATGGAAACGAGTAATTCCAACGTCCGCAGGTCAGTTGCACAGAGGTAGAATACTCGCCAACCACGTTTGTGGTCTAAGGTTCGATCCCCTGGCCGACTCACTCCTGAACCTCGCTAAGGCAGTAATAGGACTGGGAAAGAGAGAAGGCTGGACATGAGGCTAGCAACCCCATCCCGTAAAAATAAACACCTCTGCTACCGGAACTTCAAGTCTCTAGCTTGAAGCTCTGTGTCCTACTGGGAACGTAAAGAAATAATAATTTAAAAAAATATTCCAACGTTTCGTTCAGCAAACTGGTCCGAACTTCAGGGAATTAATCCAAACTAGCATAACAGAGGTTTATATGCAGAAAAGGATATCTCTTGCTTTTAAAAATTTCGTCCAATCATATGAGTCATGAAACAGGCACCAACATGTATAATAAACAAAAATGTATGAACTGTGATCAAAATTTGACCTCAGAATTACAAATATTAGTTTACAGAGTGTACTTTTCATTAGGATTTTAGCGATTACGTTCGATTAAAAGTTTACGGTCGTAGATAACTGAATATGAAAAATATATACGTGTAAATGCGTTATACAATGGTGTGTGTGGGTGGGTGGGTGGGTAAACAGTTGTAAAACATTTGTTAACATCTCCACGAGAAGATATAGACAATCGGGAATTCTGACCAAGTTTGATTGACCAGTGATACATATCCACTTTTATTTATTAATCAGGACTTGCCATACATTAACTAACATCAAACCTTCACGTCTCTTCAAACTGTTGGCATTCACCCATATATGCTAAGCTTCTAAAGTCAGTCTTTCTTTATACTAACCAAAACCTTTCTGTAGAACCTTAGTCCTATCAAAGTCACTTTTGTGTTCCGTTTCCATCGAATATAGTTATGTTAATTCCGATTAATTTCCCTGAAGAAGTTCGAACCAATTTGCGGAACATAGGAAACGTTGAAATCACTCATTTCAATTTCGCTGAGATTTTACACAAATATTATTTTTTTTAACAAATGTCTACTTCTCACTCGGCGCCCAATTATATTTTAGAACTATTCTGTCAAATCTTGATGACAGTTCATTTGAATTAATTACGTCACTGATTAAAATTCATGCTTCATTTGTCTGATATGTCACTGCACGTCAGTTGCCTAACCAAACCGATTCTAATACAATGCACCAAGGAAAAATTACCCTTGATGACCAAATCAATGTGTGTGTACACATTTAATTGCTCCTGTGGAGCTAGTCATTATAGGTAATACTCAGAGGAATTTATATTCAAAAGAACATGTTCTAGTTTGCCTTAGAAATGGAGTAAACAAATCAATAAATAGTGCCAATTTTATCTCACCTACTGAATAGTGAATACCGCATTAAAATAAATGAGTCATTTACGGTTGCGTATGGACTACCGAACAATCTGCCTAGAGATGCACAACTGAGTCTCCTAGCCATAGCTGTAACTATAGAAATCAATAAGAAAATACCTGACCAATGTGTGCAAAAAAGGCACATTCACTGGCTTTGTTTATAAGGCTATCAAGGGCGTAATCAACGCATATTTTCATGTCTTAATATGCCCTTCTTATTCCTTTTTACCCAACTTATAAGTACACTGGTATGCCACTTAATTATCTATTCACATTTTACCTTATTTTCTGAATATAAGAACAAGAAAGTTTAACGAAGAGTCTCTTTTCGGCGAATTCATTCACTCATTCTAAAGACTGATGGGACTCTAAAGAGATCAGTATATTGGAAGCCTACATGGAATGGCCAGCTGACAAAATTTTACAGCCGGGTACCCATCAATCGCAAGCAGAACTTGATAATATCTCTTGCAACCAGAATCCGCAGAATATGCAGCCCTGAATCAATCGAAGAAGAGATCACACTTTTGAGAAAGACACCACTTGAGAATAGCTATCCACCGCGTTTTATAGATAAGCACACATAAAGCCGAAAATCAACAAAGAACAACCCATCACTGTGCCAAAGAAGATGCTGTATATGAATGTGGTGTTCAAAGTAGACCTGCTGGCTGACATCCCAAAGAGAAGAATATCTAACGCCCTGAAAAGAACATTCCCTGCTGCTACATTACCATTGGTATTCTCAAGCCGCCCACTGTTCTTCAACAACTCCAAAGATAAACTATCGTATCTGTCCGCTTCTATGTGTATCTACCAATTTAATTGCTCATGTGGAGCGAGATGTACACGTCGTGCGATGCGGGTTTTATCCAAAAGAGACAAAGAATATTATTCCGCTTGGCTACGAAGAGGTAACATTGGATCAATGAAGAGTGGTGTAATTGAACGTATATTCAACACTGGTCACTCAGTATGTGAGGAGAATTCATTCCAACTTATCTACAGAGTCAAAGGAAGCCTCCCGAAAACCGTAAGCTTCTGTAAACCTTGCAATCCCGAGACACTGGAGATCCGGATAGAAAACCCTGATTTATGCAAACAGAAGAAACTTCTCCACCCTCTCCTTCTACCTTGGGTATAATTCCCAGTTCTAAGACTTTGTTAATAGTGTTTCATTTTCGTTTTTTTAAATTTTTTATGAAATCTTCGTAACATCTTTGTCTTGACCAACCCTTTATTTACTCTCTCTACCTATTACGCAATATATTTTTTTAGCACGTGTTTACATTAACATCCTAATTCATATTAAGCAACCCTTGTCAATACTTACTAATCTTAACCCCCCACCCTAGTTACAATTTTGAGTATTGATGACGTAAACACTAAGCCTAACTAATTTTTACTTTAATTTTGTTTGACAATCCTGATGTA